GGAGCAGCCGCGGCAGCTCAACTACATCCAGGTGGAGCTGCAGGCCGAGGCGCCCGCCGCGGCGCCCGCCGCCGCCCGCCCCGCCGACTCCTACGCKGTCATCGACCTCAAAAAGACGGCGGCCATGTCCAGCCTGCAGAGGGCCCTGCCCAGGGATGACGGCACCGCGAGGAAGACRCGGCACAACAGCACCGACCTGCCGCTGTGAGGGCCGAGCCCGGCGCCCCGGCCTCGTGCCCGCTGCGACTCGCGTGTGCCATTGCCTTCTGCTTCCCCCTTTCCTCGGAGCGTGGCTCCCGGCAATCATGGCAAGGCTGYGCTGTTGGCCAACCTTCCCCGCTCCGCTCTCCCTGGGTGGCTTTGTTTCTAAAGCCTCGTGGGGTTTTATGGAGACGTTTGAGGGTTGGATTTTTTTTCTCCCGGAGGAAGGGGGGAAGGAGCTGGCGCAGGTTGGATACAGCCTGGGATGGGGCTGCCCCTCCTGCCTTGCCGGCAGTGCCGTGAGCGGCGCGGGCAGCCCGGCTGCGAGGCTGGGCCGCGACGCCGTGGGACAGTGGCCCTAAGGTCGGTCGCTTTAGGAGCTCGGCCKCAAATTGAGCCGGTTTCTTGGTGATTTCATGCCTTGTGACCCCTGGTGAGCTCCAGGGGAAGAGCCTCTGCAGTGCAATCATTCCAGAGTCTGGTTTTTGTTTTTCCTTGTGGTTTCTCTGGTCCYTGATGACATGGGAGCTCCTAGCGCAGTCGTCTTCCCTCCCAAGTTGTTGCTGCCCTTTTTCCTGAAGCCCATAGGAGTCTTTGATTCCTCTGTCCTTTTCTCAGATTTGACRGAATTGGGCATTTGCAGAAATTAACAGAGGACAGAGATATGGGCACAGACACTGTGATCACGTAAACCTGGTGTCCTGAGGGCACCTTGCTTCAAAAGAGGATGGGAAGGCTGCAAATGTGTGAGACGTTTGAGGCTTGGTTTAGAAAGCAGCAGTTCCACGTTACCTGTTTGGGTTTTTAAAGCTTATTTTTGGTGCCTCTTCAGAAGTGTTGTTGATTTGTTGTTTTATTTATTTGTTTATTATTTATTTATTTGTTTAACGCTCTTTTGTATTGCATTGATAATTACAAAAACTGGTGCCAATGTGAAGCCCGTCCCCTCAGTGGCTCACGGCCTGGGTTGGGGAACAGACCTTTGGAACAGCCTTGGTGGCTTTGCCGCCCTGCAAAGCAGGGAAAAGAGCAGCAGCAGATCCGGAGCTTGCGACCTGGGGCTCCCTGTCGAGGTGGGTGGGAGATGGCACGGGGAGACGTGCACGCGTGAGCCAAGTTGCAAAGCAGCCAAGCTTRGAGTCCTATCAAAGCTGTTGCCTACACCGAATGCACACAAAATAGCTCGTCGGTGCTTTGACTGGGGGCACGGTTCGTTTCCTACAGCTGTAGCCTTGGAAGGGGCTCCGCTGGGCTCTCGGGTAAACCCGTGCCCTTGCATGTGGGTTTATGCGTTGACACGAGCGCTGAGCGCACGCTGAGCTGTCAGCCCTGCGTGTGGGTTGCTGTGTAGGGTCTCTGCGTCTCTCCCTTTTGCAGGATGTTCCATTGCCAGGATTACTCATTGCCATTGTTAGATGTTTTTATAAGACAGAACTGCTCTGGGTTTGTAGTCCCTCCTTTCTCCTGCCCATGCTCTTCACCTTCCTGGAATACGAGTTAGGAGATCCCGTGCTCTGCGAGCTGTCCCGCTCCTGGCAGGAAGGCCAAGCGTGTCCTTTTGTTCCTAACGTTTTACAGTTCACAGAGTCAGGGATCACCTGGGGTGAAAGACAACCTGACCGTCCGGCTGTAACCTGGACGATGAGATCCTCGAGTTCCAGATTTTAAGTGCTATAGTGTCCTATAGGAACATGCCCTTTCCAGGAGCAAGGACATGGGTTGTACAGTTTAGAAAAGCATCAAACGTATAATTAATGCCATGCTGCAGAGCACAGATTTCTTGGCTTGCTGTTCACTGCAGTGTAAATCCAACGTGCACCATGTGCTGAAATCCAGTGATTTTTTGCGTTTTGGGAGGAGTCTTTGCGCTTGCCTTGTGCTTATCTCTGTTCTTTTCTCTGCCCTAGCCATTATGTGTCTTATAAGAAAGCTGACTAATATATTTTTATATTTATGCCAAATAACTTTATTTAAAGGAAAAAAAAAAAAAAAAAGACGACGAATGTATGCCGCCTAAATCTAGATTTCATTTAGAGAATGAGAGAAATTCATTATTGAGGGGGAGGTAAAACAGTATTAATCTCTAAGGAAGCTGCTTAAATAAAGAGTTTACAAGCTTTAAGTATCACCCTCTGGGACCCTGACGTGACAGCAAGGGCCAGTGCTCTGGGAGCCTCCTTCCGTTCCTGCCTTTCCCATGTCACTGCCCGAGCTGGACCCCGTCTTCGCGTGCCGATGTTTTTCCGACTTTCCCATTTTTGCGGATAACTCGACAAGCGCGAGATCCTCATGGAGTGACCGGTCAATGCACCGTGTCGCAGGGGACGGGAGAAGGGACAGTGGGATCGGGTCTGAGCTCCAGGCCGGGCGCTGGGGTGCCGGGATCAGCAGTGCCGCTGCCGGGGCTTCCTGCCACGGGAAATGCGGAGCGGGCTCTGCAGTCCCACAGCTTCCTCTGGCGGCCAGAGCTCCAACAGGCTCCGTGAGAAGAAATYGGTGGCAGCTTGGAGAGCACCGGAGCTGGCATTTTCCCATTCTTCGGAGCACTGAGTGTTATTTTCCCTATAAGCCATGCAGCTCGCTGGGAGGAAGAACAAACCCAGCTCTGGCCAGTGCTCTCTTGATTTCCAGTGAGAAATGGTTGACCAAATACCTCCAACGCCCAGAGGTCCTGAGGGTGCCCGCGTGTGCGGGTGAGCGGCTGCGGGAGGGCTCTGTCGCTTGTGCTCCTTGTCCTGCTCCGGCTCCACRTCCCTGTTTCCCCACGGCAGAACGAGGAGGACGGTCCTGGCCGGGTTGCAGCTTTGCTGACCGGGGGTTTCGGGGCTTGGAAGGGGCTCCGTGAGCGGCTTCCTCCCGCGACCCGCCGCGTGGTGCCGCTTGCTCCTCTCCGCCGGGGCTGCCCTGCGTCAACGAGTGGYTGCTGATGACTGCGATGCCTCATAGGAAATAAAACAGGAGCCTCGGCGGGGTCGTGCGGCCGGTCTCCGCGGGGAGCTGGTTCCCCGAGCCGGGCGCGCAGGTGGCAGAGCAAGTGTCGCCTCCCCTTTCCGGGAGCAGCAGAACATGGGAACATGAGGAGAAATCCTGAGGGCTCTGAGGCCAGCGCTTCCAGGCCACCGCATAGGAAAGGCTCATGCTAAAGAAAGGATCCAGTTTGCCTTTGCTTCAGAAGCAAAGGTGATTTTAAAGCTGGGAGGCCCGGATACATCTGTGTAATCCCAAGCCCTACTCCCACGTGATTCTCCTCATTACTTGTACTGGCGTCTGGAGCGTTTCTGAGGTGGCAGAAACACAAGGGTGCGTCGGGGCCCTGGCAGCGGCCGTTCGGGCCGCTCAGGGCCTGGAGGTTGGTCTTGCTGTGTCAGTGCTCCCGCGGGTCGTTTTTATGGATATGCATTCAGTCCCTCTTCGCATTTCATCCGGGTGTAACCTGAAGGCGAAGAACAGCAGCAGTGCCCTGTTACCTGGGGAGSGCTCGTGTCTTACGTTAACGTGCACTATGAATGTATACGGAATAAACGGAATATGATGATCCGCTGGTGACAGTGTCTTTTCTGCCTTTTTGTGCAAAGAGGAAATTGTCACACTTCAAAATGCATTTTAGTTTTTATTCAAAATTGGAAGCTCCAGAGAGCTGCCTGGGATTACTTAGCCCTTCTCTTAGTCCTTGGTTCCAGCCTGTTCTAGGCTGAGAGTCCTGCAGCTTGCATTTGGATCCTGGTTCCCCCATGCAGCTCTCCTTTACACCCAGCCCACAGCAAGTTTGGCTGCTGCACCCCTGAAATGCCCTTGAATTGCTGCCCTTGAGCATTTTGGGGTGCACCACTTGCAGCCCTTGCTTTCCAGACCACTCTCCTCTGGAGGAGGAATTGGTGCCTCTCAGTCTATATCCATATGAATTCCACCTGGAGCAAGGGTCGTGCTCCTCTGTCTGTCTGTCCTCACTGAGTCAGGCACATTAAAAAGGATTAAAACTCAGTGGTAATGAAGCATTAATGCTGGTTTTACTTGGAGCATCTCTTCTGCTGTCTCTCAACGGCAGGCACAATACRGACTGTGAGTGACGACCTCCTCATCAGAAAAGTGAGATTTTTGAGGATCTTTTTGAGGATTTTGAGGATTTTTGCTCGCAGAGGGTCTKTGTGGCCACAGAAGCAGAATAATGACTGATTTTGTGTGTGCAGAGGGTGTTTTGGCTTGTGGGGTTTTGGAGGGTGCTCCAGGTCAAGCAAGCACCACCAGAGAGAGTCGCATGAGGTCACGGGTGCGGGCTGAGCCGCAGGGGCAGCTTCTTTGCTTTCCAGATTTTCAGCTTTGCAGATTTTCAGCATCTGAACATCTTATCAACTGGGAACTGGCGCAGAGTCGGACAAAGCTGCCTGCAGCAGCTGTGTCACCTATGCTGTCCCCAAAGAGGACCAACCATCCAAAGCTGCATTGGGTCCCTTCCTGTTCATTTCAAAAAAAAAAAAAAAAAAGTTAAACATTACAGCCTCTAATTTTAAAAGATTTGGTCTTTTCCACCTTCTGCCGTTCGAACTTGCTCGTATTTTTTTATTTACCAGGAAATCTTAGTATTAGAACTGCCTCCAAAGCAAAGCTGAGACTGCCTATTTCAGGAGTTTGAGTCTTCAAAAAGGAAAGAAGGAGGAGACCAAACTTACTACTAAACTTGAGTTCTAGGAAATAACACATCTCTGATCTATTTCTGTAGATGGTTTAGTGAAGATCTTCATTTAGCATTCAGCAAAGCCAAAAAAAAAGAAAAAAGGAGTGAAACAACCTTAAAAATGGGATTGGGAAATTACACATCCAGAAACCCAATTTAGAGAAGATTATCCCTCATTTTGTTTCTGGAAACCTTGACAGTGTTATTTAAGCACCTTAAGCTCTCAGGACGGGTAGGCACAAGTACGTCCGCGTTATTCAGGATGGCAGATCCGAGCGAGTTTGATCTGTGTGAGTTAAGGCACAGAACAGATGAGCGTGCAGGGCCAGGACACGTTATTCCTGCTTCCCAGTGTGATGCTGAAAGCAGCGCTGGGCACTGCCCCTATCCCAAATCCCACTTTTTTCCACYGTCTTCCACATCCCCTTGCACGTGGCCAGTAAGCAGCGCATCTCCCAGTGAGGCCAGGCACAGCCAGGTACCTGGTAGGTGCTTTTATGGGCTCTGAAGGTGAGATGTTCCATGAAAAAACACCTGAGGTCGGCGTAGGAATATTGGTCACCTAAAGTCTGCAGGCACTTGTGTTCTTTCCATTCTCCCCTTGTTTTGGTCAGGGGGGTGAATGGTTTCCACTGTTTATTCTGATCCTTGACGATAAGATTACATTTGAGTGAAAAGATATTATTTGTCCTTTTTGATAGCAAGCCGGAGAACAGAATAGTTGCCGTGTGATGTGTTCCTAAACCAAACTGCTGAGGTCCTTGGGCCAGGAGRGGAGGAGAGGACGGAGCGTGTAGACAACTCCATGCAACCTTATTATTTCTCCATCACCTCCAGCACTCTGTCTGCTGCCACCAGTGGGGATAAATCTGCATCCGAGGATGGTGCGTCTATATTCTAAAGAATATAATGTTGACGGTTTGGATAGGGAAAAAAGAAATGAGGCAATTCAGTCTGATATTGATAACAGGGAAAAATATAAAAAATAGTGCAGTAGGTTTAAGAAATAGCTGAAAAAGAAACAGGCATGTGTCACAGACTGGTACCCTTSCCCATGGTTTATCTCTGCAGGACAGTTCCGCCTGGCACTGGCTCCTTGGCTTATAAAACTACCTCCTGAAAATCCCTAGTTGGAATCAATTTAAGAACAACTAATGGGGCTGTCTTCCTAAGTAAGCATGACCATATTTTTCTTTCTTTTGGGGTCATTCCATGACTTTCTAAAATACTAGAGGTAAGAACTGGYATGGAAAGGGAAGAAATTATACAACTGATGATAGCCCATGTTATTCTTTCCATCTTATCTTGAGAAAACACAATTAAWTTTTTCTTCCATTTGTCTTTTTCAAAAGACTTTGATACCTCTATCAAATCAAAACAGTTGGTTAGTAGTGAACTTCACTCTTGTGGACTGGGGTTACTCTTATCAAGGCATTRTAATCAAATTCTTTGCTCGAGGAATAGCTGGAAAATGGGACAATGTTTGTATTTGACCTGGAGTTTTCCTGATAGCACCATGGGGTAAATACTTGGTGTAAATGTTATGAATCCATTGATAAACCTAAGGCATGTGAGCGGGCAGTGGCGCAAGGAGGTGAAGCCCGTCTTTGGGTATATAAGGAGAAGCTGCAGAGCTACAGCACCAGTGTGGGATCCAGGAACGAGCCCGGAGGTCTCCTCAGGAGCTGCCTGCAAGAGAAGATCATGATGAAGTGGCTGATCCTCGCCCTTGCCTGCCTCCACCTCTCTGAGGGCGTCCTCAGGTAAGCAGGGAATGACTTTTAGGTCTTCCCAATGTAGCCCTGGACCGGTGCCTACTTATGACTTAGGCTTTAGAAAATAGTCTTGATCTTTGCGTTAATGATGAACATTTTCTCGCCGTCTTTCCCTTACTCTTGGCTTTCCCTAATTCTGCTTATTGTATCCCAAGGAGGTCATGTTAATAGCAGTCATGGCAGGCCTGAGGTCAAACTCATTTTGTATGAGTTGAAGGGACTGGGCTTCAAAGTACAGAGCTTTTCCAGTGGTGGGACCAGACCCTCTTCCTTCTAGAGACCTCCCCTATCACTGCAAATCACCACCCTGGAAAATCTGCCTCCAGCAGCATAATCAGGCAGAGGAGGAACAGCAAGAGGAGGGAAAAGGAACAGGAGGAGCCAAAATTGGGGGTGGTTGTTGGGAAATGAAGAGCCACTTGATACCACACCGATTTAATGACTTCTTGCTAATTGCACACATGCAGAATCCCTCTTATGAAAGGCAAGTCCATCCGGGAAGCGATGAGGGAGAAGGGGGTGCTGCACAAGTACCTGAAGGAGCATCGCCACTATGACCCTGCCTACAAATTCTTCAACAACTTTGCCACTGCCTACGAGCCCCTGGCCAACAACCTGGAYGTGAGTATCCAGGGGCTGCCAAAAACAAGGGTGGAAAAGTAAACGTAGAAATGAGGAAYGGAGCAGGAATAGAGAAGGACATTTGGGAAGTTACACATCCAACTTTGAGCCTGGCTGTTTTATTTGAGGAGTGATTCTTATTGTTGCATGGGACAGGAGGAAGGATTATTTCAGTGTGGAAGGGAGCTGTCCAGCTGCACACTGGATTCTCTGTTTTGGAAATACTCTGAAAGCGGCCGGGTGGTATTGCATGAAAAAGGATTGTGCTTGTGAGCAGTTCATAAACACAGCTGCCTCAACGCACATTGGGATTTTAATGGAATCTCCCAGAGCAAGAATGTTTAAATGACCAAGGAAGAGCATTAAGTGGCAATCCCTGCAGCCAGGAACTGCCATGGGGAACCCGTGATGGGTGGGAAGACCCACAGTCTTGGCTGAGAAGTAGTGTGTGCAGCTAGGAGTGCTGCTGGCCAAAGAGGGATGGAAAAGAGGGATTGAAGAACATGTCCCTCTTGTCTAGATGTCCTACTTTGGGGAGATCAGCATCGGGACCCCTCCGCAGAGCTTCCTGGTGCTCTTCGACACCGGCTCCTCCAACCTGTGGGTGCCGTCTGTGTACTGCCAGAGCCAGTCCTGCAGTGAGTACCTCGGCGCAGGGAGGGCGATGCCAAGTTTTGCTCCACTTTTCCCCACCGCTCGCGCTGAAGATGGTCTCGGATTAGGCTCTCCCTGCTCGGCTGGGAGTCTGCAACCTCCCTTGGTCTGAGCTGCAGCTTTACGCTCTTCTGTTTCGCTTTTCCTCCTCAGCCAGCCACACCATGTTCAACCCCAGCCAGTCCTTCACGTTTTCCACTGAGAACCAGTACTTCTCCATTCAGTACGGAAGCGGCAGCCTCACCGGGATTTTTGGCTACGACACTGTCACCGTAAGCGATGCYGCAGCGGGGAAGGAAGGGAATGCACCTGTGCAATGCAGGGGCTGAGCTGGAAGAACACTTGGGTGGCGCATTTCTAGATGTGAAAATGCATCTAGGTCTGAGCAAAAGGGGGAGCTCTGATTATAATGGAAAGTCTTGCGTTTTGTATACATGGTGCAAGGCTTGCAGGCATGGTCAGGAGGATGGCAAAGCCCTTCCTTGCTCAGGAAGGCACTTATTTCAGCTCAGGGCTCCTGGTACGTGCCCTGGCTGTGCCCACGTACCTGCTCTTTGTCCTGGGCAGCGATGCCCTGTGCTGCACCCATTAAGCTGTGCTTTCTTTTGTGCCTCAGATCCAGACCCTTTCCATCACCARCCAGGAGTTTGGCCTAAGTCAGACCGAGCCTGGCACTAACTTCTTGTATGCGGAGTTTGACGGCATCCTGGGTCTGGCCTACCCTTCCCTTTCTGCTGGGGGTGCCACCACCGTCATGCAGGGCCTGCTGCAGGAAAACCTGCTTGACGAGCCCATCTTCAGCTTTTACCTGACTGGGTAAGGACATGCATCTTCCCTCTTTTCCTCCTGTTTCCCTTGTGCTTCCCAAGACTACTCCCTTTTACTGCAAACCTCACAGAACTCCAGTTGCTCCGGGAGAACCTGGCAATTTGCGCTCCATCCCTGCTCTCCTGTGCATTCCCTCTTCTGTTTAGCCCTCTTCAGCCCTTTCCAGCAGGCTGCTCTTGGGGCGGTCCCTCATCCCAAATAACCAGGGATTTTGCTGGCGTGTCCCACTTGCAGGCAGGAGGGCAGCCAGGGGGGCCAGCTCATCCTGGGAGGTGTCGACTCCACCCTGTACACAGGACAGATCACCTGGACTCCTGTCACCCAGACCACGTACTGGCAGATTGGGATTGAAAGGTAAMATGGGTCCTTCTCCTGTGTCCTCCGCGCTAGTTTCGCTACTCTTAAACCTGTGGCCCAGGATTGCTCTGGATCATGACTTCTTACTTGGTTTGCGAGTAGAGCAGCAACCAAGTACCTTGAAATTTAATAATGGAAGACTGATATTAGTATGTCAGATTGAAAGTTCCTTAACTAAGTGAGCACAACTAGTGGAAACGCTATACAAGATGTTAGGAAGAAAAGAGTGTAAGGTATGTGGCAGCATATTTGCTTTAATTAAATGCAATTTCAAATGTGTCCCTAATATATTCTCCTTAGTGTTTGCTTTTTTACAATTACATCTAGGAATATCAGATGAACTATGTGAAAGAAAAAAAAAATCAAAAAGATCACAGATGTTCTATTGATTTATGTCCCTGCCACTTTCTCTTCTTTATAGATATAATAGCATTTGATTTCATCTAAGTAAAAGATTGTTAAGTGTCCCAAATGTTCAGTTTTATTATTGGATGGCAATTTGAAATTATTTTAGCACAAGAAGTTGCAGAGCTAAAACTTTAAAAAAGAGAAGTCAGGGACAAAGACAGTAATACATGAAAACTCACATCCACTAAACTTCAGTTTGGGCTCTGGGGTCTATTCATGGCTCTATGTATAACCATGGGAACTCACCCTCTTTCGGGTGTAAATGTGAGGAAACACGCAGGCATTCCTCATGCCTCGGGCGCCCGCCCTCTGCTCCGCAGCAGGGCTGAGCACGTTTCACCTCCAGCTTGTTCTCCCTTTCTGCAGCTTCTCTGTCGGTGGCCAGAGCAGCAGCTGGTGCAGCCAGGGCTGCCAGGGAATCGTGGATACAGGAACCTCCCTCCTCACCGCTCCCCAGCAGATCTTTACTGAGCTGATGGAGTCCATTGGAGCTCAAGCTGATGGTGAGGGCCAGGTAAGGAGACCAGCAGGGCTAAAGGAAGAAGCAGAAAAAGGAGATGAATCTTTCCTCTGTGGCTGGTAGATGCCATTCAGCACTGGGATTGGAGGGGCATAGGAAATCTTCCAGGGTTTGACATAATCTTTGCAGAGGAAAGGACAAAATACATAAAACTTGAGTGTCTGGGTTTCTGGTTCTATTCCTGGGTCACAGCTTCTCCCAGGAGGCTGCTACTAGTGTCCTGGGAAGCACTGAGCCGTGTCTTTACCAGTGCACCTGTAGAAACTAGCTGTGTCTTGCYGTCTCCCCAGTACGTGGTTAGCTGCAGCAGCATCCAGAGCATGCCCACCATCTCCTTCGTCATCAGCGGCACCAGCTTCCCCTTGACCCCCTCTGCCTACGTTCTCCAGGTAAGTTCTCATGGTCCATGTGGCTCCTGTGTGCCTCTCTCCATGCTATCTGCCTTGCATGGAATATGCTTGATAAGGGAGGGCCAGAACTCCGGAGCTTTTTAACCATTATTTCTGCCCAACAGAGCAACAGTGGCACCTGCAGCATCGGGATTGAGCCCACCTACCTGGCATCCCAGAACGGGCAGCCCCTGTGGATTCTTGGGGACGTCTTCCTGCGGTCTTACTACTCTGTCTACGACCTGGGCAGCAACCAAGTGGGCTTTGCCCCTGCTGTGTAAGCAGGACTGGCTCCCACGCCGCATCCTCATGCCCGGAATTGGGGCTCCTTGTTCCTCGTCGAATTTCTTCCCCTCTTCCACGTCCACAAAATTTGCAACCTCTCTCCTGTGAAATCTCTATGATGAAAGTACGGATATCTTTCCAAAAGCAACTGCAAAGAAATAAAAATACCATAAAAATAAGATGAAGTGGTTTTTTTATATATATATATATACACAACAGAGCAAGAAAAATCCCAGCAAAATCTCCACTCCAGACCATGCTCAAAAAATCAGAGGGTAAAAGCAGGTGTCACAGTGAGACTTGCTACATGTAGCCTATGCTAAGCAGGAGCAGACTTAAAATTAAGCTAAGCACAAGGATGTTATTTGGCTAAAAGACACACAGAAAGTGGTCACATCATACAAAGGAATGTCTCAGGCTTGACATACTTGCCAACCTACTTCTCTCCTCCTGTTCATGATGAGCTTGATGCCCCTTTCCAGCTGCACATCTCCAGCACCTGCAAGGGGAGCAATGGGGCATGGAAAATTGGGTTAATGGCAATATGGGAAGGTTTAAGCTGATGTGGTGCAACACACTTTGACCAGGGAGCAGGGAATCTCCAGTCAGTCCCACGTTCACGCTTAMTTTATGCTACTCGTTGTTGAGATAAATATCAATAGCTTGGTCCCTGGGCAAAGGCTCAAGGATCAGGGGGATGAGTAGCCCTGGAGCTGGGGCCAGTCACTTCCCTATGGGTTTGTGGCCAGCGGAGCAGAGATTAGAGCAGAGCAGGAGGAGTTCAGAGTGATTGCAATCAGTTTGGGAGGAGATTTTCTCCCCAGCCTGCTGGTCCATACTCCMTTTTCCTTTAGATTCCATCCCTAATCCTCTGAAATGCTCCTTGAGATGTAGTGGGTCTGGGGAGATGGAAATTTTGTAGAACATGGCCTCTTCCATGGCCTTTTGGTCTACTAGTTTAATAGGATTTGTTGGCTTATGTCGCAAGTTAATGGTTGAAGCCCTCAAGACGTCAAGGAAACTTAGGACAACTCATCTCATTTGCTCTTTTTGCACAGCTCCAATGTCCCAGCAGAGGTGGAGGAGTTTGTACAGAAGATCTTATGCCATCTGGTGAGCAGAGGAAACGGGATTCCCTGGRCTGGAGCATGTTTACATAAGGGATGAAAGCATTAAGCTGACACAGAAAAAATAAATAATAAATAAAGAAGGTGCTGTAAGTAAAGAAAAGGAAATCTGGCGCTCAGGAAAAGTCCTGCATCAGACATCAGCTTGGGTGAGTGCTGCTCAAAGGGGCTTGGAGCTGTGGCGTGGAATAACTTGTTGCAATCCTGCTCTGTTCAAGCCCACATGATTTTTGATGTCAGAAACAGTAAATCCTTGATTTCCCTTTAAACTAATTGACCCAACATACAAATACTGTTTAATTTGGGGGTCAAAAAGCCACAGAAGTAGCATATGTGTCTGTGTGCTGTAGAGGGCACCTTATTCCTTTGTGTGTTGGCAGCCGCAGTCCCTGTGGGGACCTGCAGATAACACTGGGTATATTGACGTTTTGATAACTGCTCTTTGCTTTCAGCTAAAATTTGCCTTTTATCCAATCTTAATAAGTTGATCTGTCTATCAGTCCTGCTAGCAAACAAGAGAATTGCCTTAYTGTGGTCTCAATATGCAGCAAAGGACACACACACACTCCCCAGTGCTCCCGGGGGAATAAAACATGTGCAAAGCGTCGGCACTGGATGAACACGGGGATGGTGGCACTGGATGAGCACAGGGACGGTGGCACTGGATGAGCACGGGGWTGGTGGCACCGGATGAGCACGGGGACGGTGGCACTGGGCCATCAGTGCATGATGGAGAACAGGCTTTTCCCCAGCATGGTGAAAGTCAAGCTGCTCGGACTGGAGGAACTGCAGAGGAATCGGCTCCCGTGCAGGAGCCTTGGACAGGCTCTGCTCAGCTTGTGGAGGTCCTGGAGGATGTGCTGCAGTGTGAAACACTGCAGAGATAACTCCCAAATGAGGCAGAGAGCAGTTTCTGCCTTGAGCTCAGCTGCAGCCTACTCCTCCAAGGAAGACTTTGGAATAAGGGCTGCTCTTCTGCTCCCCTACCTGGTCTGATCCTGGATCATGTTGCCTTGTCCCCATCTGCCTGGAGAGGTGGGCCCAGCCACAAGTCCTTCTCAGTGGACTTTAGGTCTCTCCTTAGTCTCCATCAGCATGCAGGGGCAATCAGGGCTCTCCAAAGCCATTGCTGCATGTCAAGCTGCCTTCTAAGCTGCCTTCTAAGCTGCCGTCTAAGTCTTCTAGAGTCTTTCTAACCGGCTGGCTGGAAAGACGACAAAAGAACAATGCATTGCCATGGTTTGCAAGGAGCAACGAGCTCCTTTGTTTGGGGAAAGATAGAGCAGTTTTTGGAAAAATAGATAAGGCTGCAGCATGTTGACTTTTTGATAGCTCCTCTCTTTGTTGTGATTAAAATTAGGCTGTTATCAGATGTTAACACTTTGTTTTTGCTATCAGCGACCTGAGGTGGTCTATTCTCATCTCAATGCCCCGCTAAGGATGCCAACTTCTCACACTCCCGGAGGACCAAAACACAAAGAGCGGGCTGCTGCTGGGGACCCGGTGTGGTAATGGAAAATGGAGGTCAGCAGATAGAGGACTGAGTCACGGCCTCCCAGGTATAAAATCCCAGAGTGTGGGCAGGAGGCTTCGGAGCAGCGTGCTGCGGTCTCCAAGACGTGTGCGGACAACCCCTGAACCATGAAGTGGCTCCTGCTGGCCCTGCTGTGCCTCCAGCTCTCCGAGGCCATGGTGAGGTGGGTTTCCTGGAGCAAGCATAAACGTGAGAAGAAYTTAGATAACAGAGACCCGCTGCATTTGTAATGGTGCTGCACAGCTTTCCCAGGACTCCAACCAAGGCTAACATCTCTTCTCCTTTGCTCCATGTGTCCTCATGGATCACTGCGCCTACGCCAGCACCAGTCCTAGTCTGTGTCCCTTGCTTGGCCGGAACAGTGAAGAGCAGCTGAATGGAGGGAAGCCCATCATGGCAGGGTTCAGGACTGCCCAAAGAAGAGAGAATTTGGGAAGATCCCTGTGTTCTGCTGATTCTCCACTTTTTACATTTTTTTTGCTCTGTGCAGAATCAAGCTGAAGAAACTGCCGTCTATCCGGGAGGAGATGAAGAAGGCAGGAGTGCTGGAGGACTACATGAGACATATACGTGACCCAGGCAGGAAATACCGCTTCAATGAGGACTCTGTTGTGTACGAGCCAATGACCAACCACCTGGACGTAAGTACTGCAGGTTCTTCTCTCTCTGGCTGCCCAGCACGCTCTCGTTCCCTCCTTCTCTCCATTGTCCCAGGGATCTGGCACAGGGCTGGGGGGCAAAGCCTGATTCCATTCCTGATTCTTGGACTCCACCTTCAGAGATCCCCTCTCCTTGTTGCAGTCCTCCTACTTTGGGGAGATCAGCATGGGGACCCCTCCGCAGAGCTTCCTGGTGCTCTTCGACACCGGCTCCTCCAACCTGTGGGTGCCGTCCATATACTGCCAGACGGCAGCCTGCAGTGAGTGTCTCCGGCTGCTGAAAGGAGATGATGCTTGCTCTGCGTAAACCATCCCAGGAGACACGAACCTGCTCTGATGCACAAGGGAAAACTCAGTGCAAGGCTCCAAATTACCCTGCGAGCTGCTTGGGGTAGCTGCTCCCCTGCATTGACTAGTGTCCATCTGGGATCTTCTTGGGAAGGATCCTTTTTACTTTGTGCAATTGTTTAAGGAAGATGTCCAAATCTTTATGGCTGTTCGGTTGACGATCACGGTGCCTCTAAGAGTTCATAGCTAGACAGAGGGGCCAACAAAGCTATGGATCATGGAGCTCCTGTCCCAGCAGCAGCAGATCCCAACTGGTTATAACTCCAGATTTCAGGAGAGCGGGGTGGGATTTAGCTYGATGGCTTGGCTCATACTGGCTAGTTAATCTCTCTTTTGAGAGACAGATAAAAGTCCATGAAACTCCTGCTCTTAGAAATAACTGCAAGGCAGCCAGAGCCCRGCTCTGTTGACTTGATCCCTCTCTGTGAAGTCGCTCTAGAAGCGTTGTCCTGGCAGGGCTATCGSTGCAGCATGGACGGGTACATCACAGGGGTTGGAAGAAAGCATGTCCAGGAGCTTTCTGTCTTCTCTCTCACGCAGCAAACCATGCGAGGTTCAACCCCAGCCAGTCCTCCACCTTCACCAACAACGGGCAGAGCTACACGCTCTCCTACGGGAGCGGCGCGCTCACCGTTCTGCTGGGATACGACACGCTGACSGTAAGTGCACCTTATCCTGCATGCTCCTGAGTCTTTGCAGAGGCTATGTCCTTRGGACTGGATGATTAACATAAGGGAAAGAGCTTGAGAAGGACGGCAAAGAGCTGATCTCATGTCTTAGGCAGACAAGATGTGGGTAAATGAGCATCTGAGTTGGGTAAAACCAATATAAGGTGGTCATTAGCACTGTCAGCTACTCAGCTGTTTTTCCACCATCTGTGGAAAACTGTGTGCTTTMTTTGGGCTTTTAGAGCATGGGTCATCACACCTGATCATTGCTCCAGTTTTATGTGAAAGCACAGGCTGAAGCCGGAGCTCCTTTCCCTCTAGATCCAGAGCATTAGCGTCACAAACCAGGAGTTTGGTCTCAGCGAGGATGAGCCAACGCAGCCCTTCTACTACGCCAATTTTGACGGGATCCTGGGCATGGCCTACCCTTCGCTGGCAGTGGGAGGGGCGCCCACCGCTCTGCAGGGCATGCTGCAGCAGAACCAGCTCACCGAGCCCATCTTCAGCTTCTACTTCTCTCGGTAAAGCCTGTGCACGCCTGCCTGTGCATGTCTCCATGTCTCTGACTGTCTCCATGCAAGCTCTGTATGGATTTGGCCCTTACTAACCCATGTGTATGGCACCAGATGACTGATCTCTGATGTCCTTGCCCTGTGTTTTTGCAGCCAGCCCACCTATGATTATGGGGGAGAGCTCATTCTTGGAGGAGTTGACACCCAGCTCTTCTCTGGCGAGATTATGTGGGCACCGGTGACTCAGGAGCTCTACTGGCAGATCGCAATCGAGGAGTGAGTTGCATTCATACAACTGCGCATCAACCTCAGCCCCACCGTGCTGGAGGCTGAATGAGAGTGTTTCCTTCATCAGAGCTCTTCTCCAGACACATCAGGAGCTATTGCAGCAAACGGGGCCCAAAACAGGGGCTTATGCACTCAATTTCAGAAGCTTCTTGGACTTTTGGGTCTATCTGAGGAAAGTTTAGTTGCTACTGGGTTTTTGCAAGTGATGTCCTTCTCCTGCTTCCCTTGCTAGATTTGCTATTGGCGATTCAGTGACGGGCTGGTGCAGCGAGGGCTGCCAGGCCATCGTGGACACCGGCACATTCCTGCTCACAGTGCCCCAGCAGTACCTGGACTACTTCCTTCAGGCTGTGGGTGCTCAGCAGACCAGCTATGGTGTAAGTGACGGGGCCACTTCGGAGAAACACAAGGAGCAGGGGGGAGGTTGGCAAGAGATCCCGGGTCTCAACAGATCCTGCAAAACTCTCAGGGCATCTCAGAAGCACAAGGCTGCAGGCTGTAAGGGAGGAACATGTTGATGTGGCACTGCCTGGGCTTTACAAAGTGTATAGGCAATGGATTTGTAGCTAACCCCTCTCCTCTCCCAGTCCATGTTGTTCTCTTTGTGCTATTACAGCTGAAATCTCCTCTTCACCCTCTCTCCACAGTATGCAGTTGACTGCAACGAGGTCCAGAACCTGCCCACTATCACCTTCATCATCAACGGAGCTCAGTTCCCGCTGTCCCCCTCTGCCTACATCACCAATGTATGTATCACCCAAGCAGCTGCAGCTTGCTAAGACCATAAGGTCCAGAAACTTGTTTCTGAGCAAACAGTGATGTTCTCCCGCCACGTGCAAGCAACTTCGCCCTAAAGGCAATCCAGCCTGCAGGGTCTTGGTGTATCCTTGGGATCTGACACTTCCCTTCCTTTATTTCCCCCTTACAGGACAACGGCTACTGCACAGTGGGGATTGAGGTCACCTACCTGCCATCCCAGAACGGGCAGCCGCTCTGGATCCTGGGTGACGTCTTCCTCAAGCAGTATTACTCTGTCTTTGACATGGCCAACAACCGCGTCGGCTTTGCCGTGTCAGCGTAGAGGACCGGAGCAGCATCTCAACGCAGGATATTTAGTCACCCTCCTGGCTACATGCACCTTAGTGAGCATTCGTAGAGTCCTATGGACGTTCAATGGAGAAATGGTCTCATTCCTTATGTGTCTGCAGAGCCTCTCTGTCTCTCTGGGGGTTCCAAGGTTCYCCTCCTCTAAGATTGCAAATAAACTGTAGTGCCTCATACTGTTTCTGGCCTTCTGCTGAATTTGTTGAGTGGTGCTGGGTTGTATGTCTCTTAAGTGCTCTTTCTCCAGAGCATTGCAGCAAGGTAATTGTCATTGTAAACTTCTGGGCAGCTTTCCATGGACTCAGCACAGAGAAACAGCAGGGAACCTGCCCCTGGTCTGCTTCAAACCTAAAGTCAATTTATTTATGCAAAATGATAAGACGTATTGTCAACCACTAAAGGCTATGGGGCTGAGKCTCAGTCTTTATCTTTAATGAGTTATTTGATGCATGCTTGGCAGTGCTTGAAGGTGGCAGTGATGAACGTTGCGTCTCCTCTGCAAGGCTGTCAGGACTCAACCAGAGTCCCAAAAGGGAGAATTGTGCCTTTAAAACCAGCCAGATGGCATCTCCCAGTTTCCTTCTTTCCTGTCCTCCTCCATATGGAGAAGAGAGATGGGGTGTCCTGAGCCTGATTCCTGCAAGGGCTCTGCTCTACAAGAAACAGCATGTGGACTGTGGCATGGGGGACAGCGGTGCCCTTAGGGCTTGGTCTTAAATGCCGGCTCTGTGGCCATTGCACAGCTCCAAGGGCTCTTCTTCACAGCCCCAGGGACAGGAGTTCCCCAAGGRATACCAAGCACCAGGATGCCTCAAAATGACCATTCTCCTCAGTGCTGTTGCAGCTGCAAAGCTAAAAAACCCTCTGCGTGTCTGTTAACGGAGGCRATGCAATGTCTTGCGGCCCCTCGCCACTTGCTGATAGGCTCTGCTTAGCCACTTCGCTGAGATGCTTATCAGGATCTAATCAGGCAAACACAGGGCTAGCCCCTGGCAGCGAGCAGTGCTTTGCTTGCAGTTTGTGGTACCTTGAAGCCGCCATGGGGACTTGCTGTCCTGTCTCTCGCTGCTGCTGGTACTTGCAGGGTTGCGCTGGTCACTGTGATCGGCTGAGGATAAASCTGCGGACACCCAGGAATGGGTTGTTTGCTCCCTGCCTGCGTCCCCCTTGCCAGGCACTGGGAAACCTGCTGGGGGATACATGGGAGAAGCGAAGAGTCTTCCTTGCAGGTGGGTAAGGTTTAACAAAGTTTGACTATGTCAAACGTGAGGCCAGATTAGGTGGTCATGACATCCAGATGACCCCAAAATTCTGAASAGAAGCTGTTCACCGAGGTAAAAGATAACCAAAGTATCATAAATTGTAGTCTGTGGCAGAAAGGAGCAGATCCCTTGGCATCCGGGAGGAGTGAACTTCTGTGAAATCCCCATTAGGTGGAAGCTCGGATTACCCCTCTTTTTCCCGGGATCCAAATGGGTTTCTTAGAAGCCCTTTATCATTGGAGCTCATTAGCAGATATATTAATAGCTCTGCAGTTTCACCAGAGAAAGGACACAAACTCCTCTCKGTGCTTGTGTCAAAATATTGACACAGGCTGAGTGCAGCGATRCAGAGATTAGATAGAAGCAGATAGCAGATAGAAGCAGATAGGAAGGCATCTCCTCCCCTATAAAACAGGGTAGGTTTCAGAGGGCTCAGGCTATTCCAGGCACAGGGCACTGCGTGCAGGAGCACCCACGGAATGACCCAGCAGGGATCTGCACGGCCAACTGTCTGGTAGAACCTGGGCACCTTCCTAGGTGAAGGACTGAAGATGGCTAAAGGCCATGGCCAATGAATATCTAAGCACACGTTGCCCAGCATCTCTCTTGCTTGGGCACAGCCAGTGCCTTGCAAAGCACCTGGGACATCCTCGCACTTCCAACATGCCAGGTGTGCGACCTGCGCGTCCTTGGCTTAGCTCTGACGCTGACCACAGCCTGCAGGTGATGAGGGTGCAGAAGGAGGTGCAGAAAGGGTGACCAGGGTGCAGAAAGAGCTAAGGACAAAAGTCTGGAGAGAAGGCCAGGGAGACTAGGGGGGCCCTAAGTGCTGTTTTCCAAGAGGAAATACTACAGGACCACAGCACATCCTCCTTGAGGCAATCTGGCTAGGTCAAGAGAGGGGCACTGGGACCATAAATTTCCATTTCATAYAAAGGGCATTTTTTGCCTTTGTTTTCTGCCAAGTCCCAGCTAGTGCTGAAGGTGAGAGGAGAATGTTTAACATTCAGAGAACGTCAGAACTCTGCTTCTTATCAGATTTTGACCATTTGCTCTGGGTATCAGGCGTGCTGGCAGGTCTGCTAGCATCCAAATGCCCCACTAAGGAGGCAAACTTGGCGGATAAAACCCACAGAAAATATTGACGCTGCGATAAAGCAAATCAGGTGCTGCTCTCCAGGGTGTATATGTATATATATATCTATATGTGTGTATATACAGGTGCTGCCACAGGCCAGGCACCTTGTGCGGGAGGAACCGGAGCCATGAGGTGGCTTGTGCTGGCCGTGCTCTGCCTTGGGCTGGCGGACGGGCTGGTGAGGTGGGTGTCCCTCGTGCCCCTTGTGCCGGCTGCTCGCCAGGACCCGTTGCACGGAGCCCTGTGCATCCGYCTGCTCTCCCCGTGCTGCGCAGGATCCCCCTGCAGAAGCGCAGATCCRTGCGGGAGCAGGGAGCGCTGGAGGGCTTCCTGAGGCACCCCAAGGGCGACCCGGGCAGGAAGTATCAGCTCAATGATGCCRTGGCTTACGAACCCCTAACGAACTACCTGGATGTAAGTGCCRGAGCGCCATTCCTTCCCCGGCTCCGCAGTTTTATGACTCCCTCTGTCCCTCCTTGCTGCCTGATCCCGCTGCTCCACCCGCTCTCCAAGCCTCCTCACCATTCCTCCCTCTCCCTGGCTCCGAGTCAATAGGATGCTGTTGGAAAGGGGTGTTAATTTTGCRGTTCTTCTACCCTGGCTTCCAGGTTTGGGTGATTCTGGCTGATTAGAAGGCACAAAGCAAGTTGTTAAGCTTGTTTTATTTCTCCTTTCAGAAAAGAAAGTTAAGTTTCGTGGTTATAGGATGCATCTGGGCATCACAGGCTCAGGGTACCATTCATGGAATCACAGAACCACAGAATATTCAAGGTTGGAAGGGATCTCTAGAGATCATCTAGTCCACCCTTCCTACTCCAGCAGGGACACCCAGAGCAYGTGGCACAGGGCGGCATCCAGGMAGGTTTTGAGGACCTCCAGAGAAGGACGCTCCACAACCTCCCTGGGCAGCCTGTTCCGGTGCTCTGTAATGCCATTCCTGGCACTGCCACTGGGTTTTCTCCTACCTGCAGACCAGTCATAGCACTTTTCTGCCCTTGAGCCGCCCAGGATGCCTGCAGGACTCTGGGCATTTCCTACAACACCTGAGACGTTCAGCTTTCTCAGCTGGCAGGGGGCAGAGAGTTGAAAAACCTCATTCGAAACCTAGTCCAAACAGAAACCTTGTCCACAGACCTTCTACTTCGGGGAGATCAGCATCGGGACCCCCCCGCAGAGCTTCCGCGTGCTCTTCGACACCGGCTCCGCCAACCTCTGGGTACCGTCCACGTACTGCCAGACGCCGGCCTGCGGTGAGYGTCTCCGGTCACTGCTCCTTACCCGGGCAGATGATCTCTTGGGGTCTCCAGGGTCAGCTCCCATTCCCAGCAAACCCCTCACTGGGAGTTTGTGCGGATTGGGTTGTGGTGCCCACCTCACCCACGTGCTGTGACTTTCCCTCCGTGCAGCTGCTCACGCCAGGTTCAACCCCAGCCAGTCATCCACCTTCTCCAACATTGGCCCCACCTACACCCTGACCTACGGGTTTGGGGACCTGTCGGTGGTGTTGGGCTACGACACCGTGACAGTAAGTGACTTTTGATGTGTCGTCACAGGAAACAGGTTGCCACAATCAGGGTAAGAACCGATTGGCACTGCAAGTTTGACTGCAATTAGGTTAAGAAATTGGGGAGGGGGAGCTTCTGAAATGACCTTATTTCAGATGCTAGTGCCTGCATCTTCCAGCTATAACTCTCTGGGACATTGTTATCATGGTGGGTCCAAAATGCCATAATCTCCCAGCTTGTTTCCTTCCCTTCTAGATCCAGAACATCGTTGTTACGAACCAGGAATTTGRTCTGAGCCAGGATGAGCCCAGCAGACCCTATTACTACCTGGACTTTGATGGGATTTTGGGCATGGCTTAGCCCGGTGTCGCCATCAGCGGTTACAACACCCTGATGCAGAACATGCTGCAGCAGAACCAGCTTTCCGAACCCATCTTCAGCTTCTATTACTCCCGGTGAGACATTCAACCCTCTCCCATAGACACGAGCCTGCATCCATCCTTGGATCCGCTGGCTCTCTGTGTGCACATCCTCCCTGCACACCAATACGATGCACTGCTTTCTGCCTGGCTCCTGCCATAACCTCAGGTCTTCCCAGGAACCCGACCTACGACTACGGCGGGGAGGTCATCCTCGGAGGCRTTGACACCCAGCTCTACTCAGGGGACATTTTATGGGCACCGGTGGTCCAGGAGGTTTACTGGAAGATCAGTATTGAGGAGTAAGTGCGACACTGGCCAACCTGGGGTGGCCCTGGACCACAGGTGGGTCTGTCCTGATGTCTTTTCTTCCAATCTCCAGGTTCTCCATCGGGCAGAGGGGGACRGGCTGGTGCAGCCAGGGCTGTCACGGCATTGTAGACACAGGGACCTTCCAGCTCACTGTCCCTGCTCAGTACATGTCAACGTTCCTGCAGGCTCTGGGCGCGGAGGAGAGCGACTATGGGGTAGGTGGGGCCCTGCATGCAAGGAGTTGCAGGGCTGACACCCTGGGATGAGGACACAACAGGATGGTAACAGGCTGCATGGGTCCAGATAGAGGTTTAGAGCGGGGGAGATGCTTTGAGCTAACCCCCTCTCCATCTTCTCCTTCAGTTTGTCGTTGACTGTAACAGCATCCAGAACATGCCCACCCTCTACTTTGCCATCAGTGGAGTCCAGCTGCCGCTTCCTCCGTCCGTCTATGTGTTAAATGTAGGTGTCCTTTCCACGGTTCCTGACTAGCATTTGCCATCGTAGGGCTGTTTGGCCTGGGAGAAAGTCAGGATTCCTCAGGACTCAGGGAATACTCCGAGCTCAATAACCTTTGCTCCTTTTCCCCCAACAGAACAACRGCGTCTGCACCGTTGGGGTCGAGAGCACTTATGTGTCTTCTGACAGCGGCCAGCCCCTCTGGATCCTCGGCAACATCTTCCTCCGGCAGTATTATTCCATCTTTGACATGGCCAACAACAGAGTTGGCTTTGCCCTGTCTGCTTAGAGAGGCCACATGTCCCCCCAGGACAGTCCTGCCTGCCCTGGGCTCCTTCCCACTCTCCGGGGAATCCTGGTTAATCCGATCGGCGAGGAGGCGGCTCTCCGGGATATCTGGGATGCAGTGCGTAACGCTCCGGGATGCTGGGATGCAGCAGTCTCTAAATCTCCCGTAGTGAATAAAGTGTTATGGCTTGAACTGCCCTTGGTCTTGTTGGGGAGCGGACAAGGGAAGATCCAGGCTCGAAAACTGAGGCAATTGGGAACACTCAGGTGGAGCTGCCTGTTCAAACAGCTCTGAGGGAATCTGGGGATGAGCCCGTGCGTATGCTGGAGGCTTCAGAAACCTGTTTGGTTTAGGAATAATGAGCTGCCTGTGAAAGACTGGAAATTCATTAGGTTTGGTGGTTTTTTTTTTTTTTTTTTTTTTTTTTTTGCATATGTTTGCAAAATTAGGGATTCAGAAGTGTGGATAGGTACACAGCAGGGGCTAAGGAATGTGCCCCAGCCTGGGGAAAACCACCATGGATGTTCTCCAGGGAGAAACCTCCCTCTTGCTCACTGCAGCCCTGATGGGCACGAGMTGGGGAGAGGGGCAGCATGCTCCAGATTCAGACATGAGGTTCTCCGGAGCCCAGCCGTGCGTGGGTGCCCCCAGCAGGACTCGGCCCAGGAGCAGCCGGATGGCTCCGCGTGCGCCGCGTTCCGTGTGCCTCCATCTAGCGACGGCCCTGCCGGAGCCGGGCTCCGGGAAAGGTCTCGGAGGGCTGCTCCGAGAGGCTGGGGCCACCACGCGGGGCTGCAGTGGGGACCCGCCAGCCCTCGCCTGCAGCGTCCCCCTGTCAGAGGACACTCACCCCGTGGGGCATGTGACCAGCTCGTTAAATCTGCTGCTTCCAGCCAAATCTGCCACGTCGGGGGGGAACTCCCTGCTGCTGCTCCCAGCTGGCGGCGGGAGCAGAGCCCCATCCTCTCTCCTCCTGCATCCCRAGGCCGGGATATGTTATACCCTTGCACTCAGGGTGCGGGATGGTCATTCTGCCTCCAGCTGGGCAAGGTCCCCAAAATGCCACCTAACACTGCAGGCCTCATTCACACAAGAGGTCCTCTTGCACTAAAATCCAGCCAGATCCGAGCCCGAGACACTCCAAAACATCCCTGGCAGCTCCCTATTCTGCCTAGGACGCGGGACGCGGGGTGCCCTGATCCGGGCAGCACTGCACAGGACCCGGTGCCGCTCTTCCTGGCCGCAGTGATTCTGCAGCACCAGTGCAAGCGGCTGCAGCGCCCTGGGCCTGGGGGCTGCACCAGGACCGTGCAGGGGGTGCAAGAGCCAACTGGGGGGCTGCATGAGCACAGTGCAACACCCACGGGGGGCTGTAGGACCCCGGGACTGGGGTGGGCCTGGGGACAGTGTGTGGGGGATGCACAACACCCTGTTCCGGGGGGCTATAGAGGGCTGGGGCTGCACGATCCCGGTACCGGAGGCTGCACGACCCGAACCAGCGCGGGGGAGATATTGGGAGGGCTGGAAAGCGCCGCGTTTGGGCGGCCACGGCGAGCAATGGGGCGCGGGGGCGGCGCGGGGACTACAAGTCCCGGCAGGCGCCGTGCGGCTCCCGGCGTGCTGCGGAACCGGGCCGGGCCGCGCCGGGCCGCGCCGGCCGCTGCTGCCCTCCCTCGGCCGGGCCGCGCTGGGCCGCTGCGGAGCGGAGCGGAGCGGAGCGGCGCTCGCTGCCGAACCGGGCCGGGCCGGGCCGCGCTGCGCCCCGGGCTCGCTCGGCGCCGCCTCCTCGCGTGCGCCCCGTCTCTTCCCACGGCGGGCGCGGGGTGAGTGCGGGCGGCCGCGGCGCGTGTCCCACGTCGGGGTGTCCCCGCCGCGCGGGGGACGCGCGGGTCGGAGCCGGGGCGGGGGGTGTCGGAGCTCGCAGCGCGTTGCGGGGGCTTCCCCTTGGGTGCTGCCCCGTCCCGGGGCGCCCCGGGCTCGGGGCGGAGTTAGCACCGCGGGGCTTCCTATTTGTGTTTATTTTATTTATTTTCTATCCCTTTTCCGTTTAAATCATGGCATTTCGTGGCCCTCCCCGCAGCCGCCGCTGCCGCAATGCCCCGCTCCGCCCTGCGGCCCTGCACGGGCCGCGCGGGGATGCGGGGCCGCCCCTCGCGGCGGGGCCCGCGGGGCCGGCGGCTCCCGGGGCAGCGCTCGGGGCCGTCCCCGCCGCCCCGGGGGCCCGAGGGGGCGCCCGGAGCCGCCGCGGGGCCGTTTCGGGGACCTTGCAGCGGCAGCGCGAGGTCGGGCCGCGCTGGCGGCTGCAGCCGGGGCCTGGGGGCGAGCGGGGCCGCGCTGGGGTCCCCGACACCCGGCACGGGTGCTCCGGGCACCCTGGAGCGCCCACGTCGCTGCTCCCGCAGCCCCAGTGTGGGTGCGAATGTCTCCAGTGCTGCGGTGGGAGAGCCCGTGTTCCCCGGCAGCCGCTCCAGCCCCGCATCCTGCCGCCCTCCAGGAGGTCCCTCGCGGCTGGGAAAGGGTGAAGGCTTTGGAAAAGGGTGTCGATCCGGAGCGGGGTCGGAATCCGCCCCCCGCCTCCCAGAAACAACTTTTGGGGGATCCCTATAAAAAGGTGCTGCGCGGTTGTCACTCGGGTCCCGGCGTCGCGTGGGACGCTGCTCGCTTGGAGGGGGTGACACAAGTTTCGAGGCGGTGCGRGGGGAGCCTCCAGCTGCTGGGGAATTATATTCATGAATTAATAGCAAAGCAGGAAGGATTACGACAGCCCTCATGCCCGTGTCCTCTAAAGCCTCAGTGAGTCAGATGATGGGGAAATTTCCTTTAAGAAAAAAAAAAAAGAAGAAAGAAAGAAAATATGGTGGTTATTGTTGTGCTCTTGTAAGATAAATAAATAAGCGCGTGCGAGTGCCTGAGTGAGCAGGGCCTGTTTCCAGGAATTGCAGCACTTCTGCCTTGTTCCCTGCCCCAGGGGCATGGGGGAGCTTGGGCTTTTCTTGTTATTTTCTTTCTTTCTGCTTTTTTTCCCCCTTTTTTTTTGTATAATGGCAGTGAGGAGCAGATGGCAGTTGAAGGTGTGCGACTTAGGGGAGGGCTTTTTTCTCCCCCCTGCCTTTTATTTCCCCGGCCTTGTTTGTTTGCCTTCATGCTCGGCTGCTCGCGCGCGGGGCGCCGAGCCTGCCTCGCTGCCGGGATTTTTCCCTGCTGCCGGCGCTCCGGCCGCAGGGCCCGCGCCGCCCGCCCGCAATGGGAGGCTGGCCGCAGGGCGGGTGCCTCCGGAGAGGGGCTCTGGGCAGCACGTGCCAGGGGGCTCGCAGAGGAGGCCAGGGCGTTTTCGGGATGCTGGGTTTGCCCCGCTCCGGCGCTCGCCCTTATCAGTAGGAAACTGTGCCGGGGTGTGGCTGGATGCAGCAGGGTGACTCCGGCATCCGGGTGTTTTGGAGCAGAACTGTGATTTTGGCCAGTTATTAATTGCTTTTTCCACAGTTCTCAGCAGTGCAATTCCCTGCACGTGCGCTTGCAGCCCAGCCCCGCTTTACCGTGGCCTCAGTCTGCAGCCAGGTCCCCCGTGCGGTTCCTGCTCTCATCCCTCCAGGCGACGGATCCCTCCGAGRCTGCTTTTGCCTGGGTGGCACCTAGGTCGAGAGATGGTCTGTGCAGGACCCAGGACAAAAACCCCATGTCCGCATCTGCTGGGATTGGGCTCTGCCACCAGCAGGGACACCGGGGATGCTCCAGGCTGCCAGCCGGTCTCCCATTGCCTCGCTTTTCCTAATAAATACATGTGGATCCAGCTGTGTTGCGGTTYCCATATGCTGCAGCCAGCCAGATGAGCCACCACTGTGTCCTCACGTGTCCCYGTGGTCCTGCCGTCACCCACTGTGGAACTGCCAGTGGCCGGGGGCTCGCAGTGCCCTTGTCTGTGGCATCGTGGTCCCAGCTGCTTTCGCAGTGTCCTGTTTGGCTCCCTGTTCGGGAGCTTTGGGAGATTGGCAGGGTCCTTTAGAGCCATAGATGCCACTGCACTTGGGATTTGTAGTGCTGTAAAAGAGCAGTGGCTGCTTCGAAGAAAACTCAGTGGGTGCAAAAGGCTTTTTTGGCAGAAGGCGGCGTCTCTGCGAGCCTCCTCGGGAGGCAGCACCGCGGCGCGGGGGGCTGCGAGCACCCGGGTTTGGGCCACACGCTGCGGTTGCAGCGGAGCCTGCGGTTGATGCAGGAGGGATGCAAAGAGAGGCTGCTCCCGAGCACCAGACGGAAATGGGCACTCATCCCTTTTCCGGCAGCCGGGTCGCTGGGATTTGCCACCAGGTTGGAGCCCTCCCMGTGCAGCGGATTGAGCACCGTGGAGTCGGTTTCAGGCAGCAGTGGGGCAGGAGAGTGCGGTTTTCTTGCGGATTTGCACATCCTGGTGCTGGTTTGGGAGACTGATGACCATGGACAGGATGCAGGCAGCTGATCCGAGGCCCAGATGAACTTGCTTTCCACCTTAGAGCCAACGTGTGCTCGGACACAAGTGGAGGCGACGCAGCTTGCGCTTCCCAGGCAGCAGAGCAAACCTGCAAATAGGAAATTTGTAAAAAAAAAAAAAAAAAGAAAGAAAAAATAACTATGGTTTCTGACTCCTGTGCCGAAGGAGCTCTGGCTGCTTCGGAGCTGGGGTTTGGTCTCGGATCTCCTGCTTGGGTCGCAGAGCAGCCTTGGGTGAGTTTGGCCCACGCCACCCATCCTGCCGAGCAGACAAGCTCCCACGGCCCTGCCATCTGCCTGGAGTCTCCCTGGTGAAACGGGTGCAGCTTTTGTGCTGGCTGAACCTGCCGGGCACGGGCAGCCTCCTGCCCGCAGCGCAAGCGCTCGCTCGCCGGGCCGCCCGGTGCCAGTGGTCTACTTGCAGCAGCGTGTGCAAAGACGGGTTTTCTGCCCCAAACCCGCTGCGGGTTCCTGTTGCTCGGAGGCTTTTCCAGGTGTAAATTTGTGTGCAAAGGGTTGAATTTATGTGGAGGCAA